AAAAAAAAAAAAAAAAACCCATAGGAAAATCAAAACAAGAAATTATACCTGAACCAGATAGTAAAAGATCCTTAAGCCCTCGGGGTCTTTACTAGACTGAACGTCCATAAGAGAACCAATCTTCGAAGTCGTGAACGAAATATGCTCATTCCCCATCACGATTTCAAGCTCCTGCCTCCCCACGCGATCCGGCTCCGGCCAATTGTTATCATCTTCCTTCATTATCTACACCGATATAATAAAAGAAAATACTTGATAGATTCCCATTTCCAAAGCCCTAACAGTCACAAAAATTGGGGAAAACCAGAATCTAACGATACCTCGGAATCAGCTACGACGCGGCGGCACTCCTTGAGGACGGCGGGCGTGAGGAACACCTCTTTGCGAATCATGGTGTCGTTTTTGTAGTTGGAGTTGTTGGCATATCGGAGCTTGCCGTCGGGTCGGAACTCGAACTCCAAGAATTCGTGCCCGAATTTTCCCTTGTGACCTACGTAGTAACGCAGGTAGAACTCATCGTTTTCCTCTCCGTCGGCCATTGTTGGTGTTTCAAGGTGTCGCCTCTTTCTGCCGGCGTGCAAGGAATCGAAGGAGAAGCGGTTGCGAATTGCGAAGCTTCTGGTTATGAGTGTCTGCCTATTGGGCTATGTGCGTCTATTTCAAAAACTTCGTTTGGGCTTGGAGTGCTTATCGAATTGGGCTTTAAAGAAACAATAGGGGACCTATGAAAGATAGTGAAGAATAGGTATTTCAGAATCGCCCAAAAACACATCCGAAAATTCCCTATATATAATTCTCGAATGCGCTGAGCCTACGTGGCTGCTTCTGGTGCTTCGGAATTCGTGGCTGCTTCTGGTGCTTTGGAATCCTACTTGGCGAAGAATCATGCTTTGTAATTAGGTTTGGACAAATGATGTAGAGCGTAAGTAAGAAAAGGGAAGAACAAGCACAACTGCTAGAACAGAATTTTATTCAATCGATAAAACTGTAGAGAACATAATAATATCAAGAGTCCAACATTCTCTAACTCTAATAAAAGACTAACAATAATTATTTAAAAGTCCCAAAATAATAATAAGGCCAAGTAAAATAAAAACTAGTAATAAAAGCTAGATACGAAGACGATCGTATTTATTCAAAAATGCTAGCGCGGTCTCGTCTCCATCATCCTCCCCCGGTTGGGAAGGATTCGGTCGCGAATCCGAACCGGTCTCGTCTCCGTCCGAGTTATCCCCCGCAAACGGCACCAAATGCTTGACGTTAAAAACGTCAGATGTGCGAATGTGAGAAGGAAGCCGAAGTCGGTGAGCATTGGAGTTTATTTTCTCCACAACCTCCACGGGCCCGATTTTACGTGCAGCCAACTTATTAAACTCGTGCGCGGGAAACCTGTCCTTTGTCAAAACAGCCCAAACAAAATCACCTACCTCGAACTCCACGTGGCGACGTCGAGAATCAGCGGCCCGCTTGTAAGCGGCAGTCGACGACTCCAACCGAGCCCGAGCCGCGGTATGCGTCTTCAGCAACTCGGTCACGAGGTCCGACGCACGCGGGTGAGTCAAGCCGGACGACGACAACGACGCCAAATCGCACGGTCCCCGAGGCTGGACCCCGTACACAATCTGGAAAGGCGAGAAGCCCGTAGCCCGACCAACCGCGGTGTTATGAGCGAACTCAGCCTGACACAAACGTTGGTCCCAACTCCGTATATTATCTCCAACCAGGCAACGGAGCAAGTTGCCCAATGACCGATTGACCACCTCAGTCTGACCGTCCGTCTGAGGGTGATACGCGCTGCTGAAGTCGAGACGGGTGGCGACCATACGCCACAAGCTTCGCCAGAAATAACTCAAAAATCGTGTATCACGGTCAGAAACGATTGTCAAAGGCAGACCATGAAGACGGTAAATCCCACGAAAAAATAATTGGGCTACATGGACAGCATCCATGGTGCGCTTGCATGGAATTAAGTGCACCATCTTCGAAAAGCGATCGACCACCACAAAAATAGAATCAAAGCCTCGCTGTGTACGAGGCAAGCCCAAGACAAAATCCATGTTGATCGACTGCCAAGGTCGGGACGGAATCAGCAGTGGCCGGTACAAGCCAGCATTCGTCGCTACCCCCTTCGAAACCTGACAAATCCGACAACGTGCAACAAACTTACCCACATCACGCCGCAGGGACGGCCAAAAATAGCTGCAACTCACGAGCTCGACAGATCGATCACGGCCCACGTGCCCGGCCCCGTGCAAGTCAGCAATGAGCTTGTGTCGAAGACTGCAATCTGGGATACATAAACGAACCCCGCGAAAAAGGAAACCATCGACCAAAGTGTAGTCCTCGTACGGCCCGTCACGAAGCCGACCCACAATAGGGCCAAAAAATGGGTCCTCCAAATACACGTCCCGCAGTACCTCAAAACCCACCACCGACACACGCATCTCAGACAAAATAAGAGAACGCCTACTCAAAGCATCGTCCACCCTGTTAGAGGCACCCGAACGATGGCGAAGGACGAATGTGAACTGCTGCAGAAAAGCAGCCCAAGAAGCATGGCGCGTGGAAATGTTGTCCTGAGAGGCTAGGTGCCGGAGTGCCTCATGGTCAGTGTACAACATGAACTCCCTGTGAAACAGATAATGTCGGCAATGGCGAACTGCACGAAC